GAATTTGCAAGATTTAGCAGTAATGTTGATTTTTTATGAAGTGCTATTTCTCTACAGAATATTTTAGGGACTTACAGAGTGTACAGAAAGAACAATTGACGAAAGCCTATCAATGTATTTACGATCACTTGCGCTAACACTCACCGTTTAGCCGAATGATACCTTAAACGTAATTACCCAACAACCCAAGTTTTTTGGTGAGCATTACGCCGCAAAATGTCCGAAATAGTGTTCCAGTTTGTTGTGTTTAGCGCTTATAGCACCAATCGACATAGTATACAAGCCCGTGAATTTGAACTCGAGGGGGACAGCAAAATTGGTCGAATTAAGTGGAGTTCGAATTATTGGGCGTGCGCTAGAATGAACGGACGTCACACCTTACTGCGCAGACAAAGCTCACAGAAGCCACCTCTCGATTCGTTATCGCGAACTAGGCGCTGTCACACCTTTGAGGCAGGTGATTTCGTAGTTAAGTTGAAGGAGCTGTAACGGCAAGCACAATTAATTGATCATCAGTCAAAACGTTCAATACAAGCTCTGACATGTAATCATGTGAGAAGTGAGCATCAAGCTAAAATATATGACGCTATTTATGCTCTAAAACATGCTCCTTCACATAGAATAGTTACCGTAATCAAACTTGGAGGTAATCAGTAATTCGCACTTGTTTGCGTTTCTTCTGACACGACTCCACGAGCATCGTTGGCAGCTTGCTCAAGAGCTCTAGGACAGCCTTTGAATTACTATCTTCTTAGAAATGCGCTGCTTTGTTAATTTTTTATCTATAGTGAACTTATTTTTGCTTGTCATTACAACACATTGTGATTACTGTGGGCTGACATCTGCAAAGAGCGATGAAAATCAGGGTCTTCCAGTTTGAATGAACAGTTGTGTATACCAACATGTTCAAATTATCCAAAGTTTTTCCCCATAGGATTATACACTTCGAAATAACTGTAAATTCAAGTTAACCAAGTTTGAGTTAAAGAGATTCTACTGTACTTTATATTCTAAAATATTACCAGCGTTTTATACTTTAAGTGGTATTTTGAACTAAACGCGATTACTTTATTGACAAATTTAATTTAGCCATAAGCACTTTATTGCGAGGGTAGTTGAGAGTTCGGAGCGGGTTGGCTTTGTCCATGTATATGTCCGTCCACATTTTTATCATTTGGGCCGAGTTGGAACATAAGCCTGGCGTTAAATTTACAGCGCTAATGCACAAGACGCCCCCCCCTCCCCCCCCCCCCCAAAAAAAAAAAAACACGGCGTACTCAGAACTTGTGTGCATCCTGTATATTCTTCGTGGTGTGCCTTGCGGGTTTGCGCTGTAACATTAACACCAGGTATTTAATCGACCATGCATTTTTTATTTCATTCTCTAGATTTTCTGCCTTACGGCATTCTGTCTAAAAAAAGAGATAGCTAGAAGAAATTGTAGAGAATGAAAGGCATGGAGGTTAACCAGTAAAGGATAACCGGTTTGCTGTCCTACACGTGTAATTTGGATGGTGGAGATTTAATGGGAGAGGAAAAAAAGAGCCTGATCTCTCTATTCCGCCAAGATTTATCTATCGCCTAATGACCCCTGTTCACAGGCACTGGACGAAATATTTTCCTTTCGCAGCAAAACCTCGATTTTATATTTAGGCAATTTTGTACGTACCTAGAGCACGTAACGTAAAATGTAATAACAAGAAAGTGGCGGAAGTTGAAGGCTTATAAAATAAAAGTTAGTAAAGCTACGTTTAAGGAGCGAGACACGAATACGGACTTCGTTTGTTCTTTACTGCCAAGAAGTAAAAACGTTACAGGCGGTTTCCACGCTACATTTACCACATTTTTCGTCATAACACAATTCTCCTCGATAAAGGCGTATATACGTAGAAAAGGCCTACAAAAAAATCAACCAAGCAACAAGTATGAGCTAACACTTTCATAAGAAACATATCACACACACTCTTCACCAACACCGAGACTACGAGACTTCGCAGGTGGGAACGCAAGTCACAAACCGGATAAGGGATCAGAGCCGTACCATGAAGCCCCAAAATGGGTCCATCCACGGAACGCAGACAAACGTATTAATGCAAGATCTAAGGGCAAGCTCAGAAGACCGGATTGCATTAGCGGAACACAAGAACACCGTGCATCGCGAAGGCGGAAGAATATGAAAGGCACGCTACAGGCAAGTCGTTAGTCTCCGAGATAGAATATGAATGCGGCCTGTTGGCTAATAATTATATGCACATACCCGATAAAACATTGTCTGTACGAAAAAAAAAACCGCCCTTGCGTAACGTCCGAGTTGTGCTTTTCATAATAAACAAGTAAGATGATTACATTGACATCACAAAAGAGCTCAGTTGATAACGTCGATGATGAAGAAAAAAAATAATGTTCTACGTCGTTGCTTTTTTTTCCTTGTTTTTCAAAGAACGATCGCGAAATAATTTCCATTCAGCTGCAGGTGAAACAAGAATGTTGTCTGAAATGCCGACGTAGTTACTTAGGGCTGCAACTATTTAAAGCTGGCACCATTATCTTACAACACGTCAATTATACATCGTCCAGGTTTGCAACAAAATCGGTAATTGATTTCAAGATTGCTATCTGAAATGGAGTGTCTTTGATCCTCTCTGCTTTTTTATTGCACCCAATATAAGACTATGTTATCTTGCGATTTTTGTAGAGGAAGCACAAGTAATTATGAAGCGGTAATTTTTCAGCATGAACAATTGCGAGCAGCATTGTTTCGGACGAAACTTCACCAGGGTTACGCCACGCGGGAGTCGTGAACGAGCGTCGAGCAAGGGCAATACAATCTCGCACTGCACGCAGCGAAATTTCCGGAAAGCTGGCAACCACCAACTCAAACATAAAATGGAACATCAGAAGCATCTGCTTTTTCATTATTATTATTTTCGAGCATTGATCGACCGCAGCGTATAGGGCGCTCGCTTTTGTGCAGCGTACAGTGCGTCGTTTTACGTGTAGCACAGGCACGAAAAGCTGGACGAAACATCGAAGCTCCCAATTATTACCATCGCTTCGCTGACTAGCCATGCGATAGAAAGCACCCAGGTAAGGGACGGCTACTAGCGTCACCTTTCTTCGAACTATGCACTGCTGGAAGTGTTGAGGCCCTATATATAGACATGCCATGGTCCGTATTCGATCGCAAAGGATGGTCCATGACGGCGGCTAACCATAACGTTTCTTGAAATGCAGAGTGGCTTTCCCTGACCACTCTGGCTGCCCTGAATTCTGTGGCTTTCCCTGACCACTGATCTCACTGGTGATCAGTGGTCAGGGAAAGCCACGGAATCACCGTGTAAAGAAAGTTACTCCCAAGTAAGGAAGTACGAACCAAGATAGCAAAAAGCTAGCGGTCTTCGTGAATTTGGATCTGTTGTAGACAATCAATAGCGGTCTTACACTTATTTGCAACGGTTCGGTTTACTTTTTTACTTTTCACGATGGTCAAAAATGATTTTAGTTGGGAAACGCAAGAGCTGGTTTGGCGAAACATCAAGTATGAAAACATAAACAGAAAAACGTTTGGGTGCTATTTATGTTTTCCACTCAGGTTCCTGAATGCCTTCAACATAGCACAACGAGGCAAATTTTTTTTTTTGGGGGGGGGGGGGGAAATAAGCGGTCGATGGGTAAATAGGTAAGTTTGATGTTCTTCCATGAAAATCAGCTTTTGCTCTTATTTTACCGCAACGATGCACATTGTTTTTTTTTCTTACTCATTTCGATTTCTCACAACTCTAAACCATAGTTTAAGTTGGTTCATTTTGTATTGCGCAACCAAGCATATGCTCTACTCTTACATAGAGCTTCTTAACACCGGCATAGTCCGTAATTCGTTGAAATATAGCTTATTCATAATAGCTTAAAATTCACACAATACAATAAAATTAGAGCTATGCGCCTTGTCTGCCTTCCAGTAATAAAAAGCTGTGTGATCTCATTTAACTCGTACAATGGGGGCACAGAACACTAAAGGTTAAATTTGTCACATTCAGCGTCGACAGTTAAAGCCAAATAGCAAGTCACGTGGATAGATTCAGTATTACGAATAACATGTTTTGCAAATATTTCATTTTTCAAAAAAAAAAACAAGTAGATATCATCTTATCAACTAGCGACCTTGCAGCACCATTACATGTCTGTGCATCTCAAAAACCCTAAACCTTGGTTTGTGCTGTGCTTTCACACCGAATATAGGTTGCAATCTATCAAACACAGTTCACCAAAAAAATTCCGAATATTCATCTTCACATAGCATGGTTATAAGGAATTTAAGAAGTATATCATTATTATCTAAAATATAATGTGTATTCAATTATAACAATGTATATAAGATGGTCATGTTTCATTTTATTGCTGCCCCGCCGCGGTGGTCTAGTGGCTAAGGTACTCGGCTGCTGACCCGCTTGTCGCGGGTTCAAATCCCGGCTGCGGCGGCTGCATTTCCGATGGAGGCGGAAATGTTGTAGGCCCGTGTGCTCAGATTTGGGTGCACGTTAAAGAACCCCAGGTGGTCGAAATTTCCAGAGCCCTCCACTACGGCGTCTCTCAATATCATATAGTGGTTTTGGGACGCTAAGCCCCACATATCAATCAATCATTTTATTGCTTCGCCATTTGTACAAAAAATGCCTGTTCCTGAATGTTAAACGTCTTGTGGTAAAACAAGTACTGAGTATGAGGGTTACGCTTTAGTCATGTACCAAAATGCTGTGTTTTCTCGAGCTGTCAATTACAACTCCTCCTGGGCCTAGCCAAGCTGCTGACGGCAGCTTTTAGTACCGCGCTTTTTTTTTGCAGCTTTTTTTTTGCGCGATTCGTCCTCATGCAGTCAATGCACCACGTAACCACTAAACAGGCGCTATAGACATGAGGCTTGGTTAAAGTGTGCGCGAAAAATATCGGGAATGACTGATCGGCAACTATACAAAAACAAAGGGCCAGGGAGTGGAACTCACGGTCGGAGCCAGCAGCGCCGAAACAGCCGCTCCGATGGCCCTCAGGTCCAGCCTCTCGCCTTCGGGCGTCTCCGGCCGGTCAGCCGACAGCAGGTCGGGCGAGAGTCCGCCGCCACCACGAAACTCCCTGGGCGTCACCGGGCTGCGAGGGCTGATCACGCCCCCCGAGCTCCATCGGCGACGCGTCAGGGGCGACGAGTCCGGAACCACAAGGAGAGCGGGCGCCGTCAGTTTAGGCGCCGCGCTCGGACCCGCACTCGACTTGGGACCCCCCATCAGAGGGCAACCGCCGCCCGAATCGAAGCCGCTCATCGTTCGCTCCGGCCGCTTCTTTCGGGCGATCCGCGTTTACGAAGCGTCGCGATTGGCCGCCAACTCTGACCACGTCGCCGAGGGACCAAATATCAGGCGGTGCTAATGCGGAAGTCGTGTCTCTAGTTCAGCTGAACGGCCACCTGCGGGCTTAGTTGGCACCGGTGTGTCGTCACTTGTGTCGCTGTCCTTTCCCCCTTCTTTTTTTTTTTTGCTTGCCGGGTAGCCTGTCCGGCTGAGCCCTGGTTAACCTCCCTACCTTCTCTTCGCGAATTCGGGTGTCGTCTCGTTAAGAGCCCAATGCGCGTAAAACTTCCGCTCTTTCCAGCCGTCGCTTCTCCCGTCGGCCTTGTTTTGAATGGCTCTCCGTTCTTCTCTGTCGTCTCCCTTCTCTACAAAGACGTCGAGCTGATTTCGTTTACTTGTTGTCTCGTATGAGGGTTATGTCACTGCCATGTTTTCTCGTTAGCGCTGTATTGGAAGACACGAGTGGAAGGTGTCCGTATGGTAGTTAACTCCCGCTCGTCTTTGCTTGTCGTATATTTTATGATCACGCCCTAGTATCAGCAGCTTCCATATGACGCCTTTACGGGACCCTCTCTTTGTTCTGTTTTTTATACTTTTCTCGCCGTACTGGCGTAATTTTATTGTCTGAAGGCCTTTAATGCTGAGCGGCTCCACTCCTTTTGCCCGCTGGAACGTTTATGTCATGGGGAGACTCGCTCTGGATAATACCGGGCCCGTAAACATGTTGATCATTGCATATACGAAACTAAGCCACAAAAAGCGCGTTATGAAAATCTGCTTCTCGGTATTTTCGTCGCAGCTATGAAGTGTCCCAAAGCAACTATTGAGATTGGGCTAGTTGGTAAAAGGTCCTTAATGCGTATGCAGGGACGTTTCGTTTAGACAGCCTCATCGACTGAGGCCAGCAACTTGAATGTATGCCGATGGTTGGACTTGGCAGTGTGCGTTTATCAAGCCTCACGAAGTGGAAGCCCTTTCGCTTGTCAAACGAGGATCTCACTCGTTAAAGGGCTTTACAAGATATAAATATTTAAAAACGCAGGCCGCACTTGTCCGGTGTTACCAGCTTGGTCATTTGCCCTGTCTGTCACCTGTAACAGACAAAAAGAAGGTTTTCTATTAGCATTTTTCAAGTTCAGACGGCATTATGGAAGCAAGAAGAAAGAACAAGTACGATACCGATAATAGATGAAAGACGAGCAAGGTTTCGGGCGAATAAAGTTAGGGTATATTCCGCTTCAAACATTACAATGGTGAGCAAGGCTGCTCAAAAGGAGATTCAGGCTTCTGGTTTTTACTTTGTAAATTGGGGCAGCTTTTTACGAAACGGACCATCATAAAGCACGAAATTGAGATCCGTTTTGTCCAATGAGGTCCCGGAATAGATACCCACCCGACACTCTCAAACAAAAGCTGCAGCATAGACTCTACAATTTCTGCAATGTATGTTTCATTCATTCATTCATTCATTCATTCATTCATTCATTCATTACGAAATGGATGGCCCTTTATCGGCTCAACACATATCAAAGACAAATGCTCTCAGACCCTTAACAAGACTTCAATCAGACGTTATTTATGTGAGACGTTGGACGTGGTTTGGCTATGTTTGATTTGATTTGACTAGCACCGCCAAATCGCTTCTCTTGCTTTTAGTGTGTAATGAAGTTCGTTCTTCAAAGGTTTCCCTTCTTAAACTTCGCCTCGCTTAACTCGCCTCTTATTTGTAGACCAACAGCACTCACGGTACAATATGTACAATCTTAGATTGTCCTTAATTAAAAGGAGCAAACGTAAGATAAAAGATAACCGTGTTATCTGTTAGTCGTAGCTCAGCGCACGTGTGCGTTTTCAGAAATGTTAGCTGTTTCGGAGCCTTCTGCTGAATGTCTACTTGTCTGTTTTGTTTTTTTTTTTCAACGAGTGCTGTTGCATTCATGCTGCTCCCCAGTTCAAGAGCTCGAGTGCGCCCTTTTTGATCTCCCTAAGTGGGCGACTGCTCGGAGGGTGTAGGATGTTTCGCCCGGTATAAGCACTCGCTCATCCGGTGATCCATCTTCGGCGGACATCTCTGACACTTGCTTCACAACGTGGGCTTCGCCTTGCATCACACACTGTGTGGCGAAGCAATTCAGCCTGACGCGAAACGCACGAACAAGAAAACAGCCTTAAATGCTTGAGGCTACGGAGTGCTAATGAGTAAATAAACGTTGTTGTAGTGGTTTTATATTTTTTTTAGAAAGCTGCTCGTTTAGGACATAAGAACTTTCCGAAATTTGCGACTCTTATTCGTGAAGCTAATTGTACGTTTAGGTGACCTCGGAGCTATTACATAAACAGCATGCACAAATCAAAAGACTTATTGATGAAAGCGCCTTCCTTGACATCTTGCAGCTATCTTTTTTTTTAATATTAAGCAGATTCGTTCAACCACGCAACCTGCTTCACAAGTCTTTGTATAGTTAAAGATGGCTAATTCTAGCTAGCTGTGGGATGATGGTGGGTATTAGCTGCAATAACATTAACGTCATCTTCGTTCATGCCCAATCATTACATTAGGTTGTCAACAAATATTTGCCGCCTGCGCGAGTCTGCATGTGAACAGAAATGTCACTGCATCTGAGCATACCCACGAGCACAGCAGGATTCTGCAATTAAATTTATTCATAGCTTGAAGCAAACTTAGTCACAGTTCTTTCTCGTGTTATCTCCCCCCAAATTTTCGAGAACGAAGCTCGTTAAGGGACGTCATTTTTATAACCATTCCAGCCGTAAAACTGCCATTTACAAGCACTCACTGCATAAAATTATCTACTGGGTCAGCGTTTGTTTTACGACGTCTATCATTGCAAACAATGCGTGGGTAAAACTATGGGGCTGCTTTAAAAGCGCGTTTACGAACGAACCACCAGGCCATTCACCGAGTCCCTTTGATAATTTTTCGCGCTGAAAACGCGCGTTGATTGTTGTTCTGAGTGTGCAATACATCGTTCAGAAAATCAGTGTAGTCCTATTCGTTCACTGAACGGTAAATGATTAAACTTTCCATGCAACGCGAATAAAAAAGAAAGTGAGCTTCTGCCTAAATTTGTGCCATTTACCTTCAGAAATGTGTATCTGATTTATTGATATGTGACGTGTAACGTCCCAATACTAAGTATAAATATGAGGGACGCCGGAGGGCTCCACAAATGTCGATCACATGGGATGCTTGGATATATATACATGGAAAATGTTGTATATATTTCAAGACCAGAGAACACTGGTAGTTTTCTTTACAGTTTAAATAGCTGTGTACTTTTGAATTGGTGTGGAAAAACACTAAAGACACCCGGGCATAAACAATGAATTTTTATCAATGAAACTTCACCTCTCTTTTTCTCTGAGTGAGCGTCTTTTGTATTCTTGCTAATTTACATTTATAACTTTGAGGACAGAAGACTGTTCTCGAAGATAAAAATGACCAAATAGTTCGTGTTCATTTATTTGGCTACAGTCATATGCACCGCAAGAAAAAGGAAAATCATGGATGCCAATGTGTTTATACTAAACTCACAGACAGTTCATAATGACCATTTGGGCGTGATGTGAGGTTAACTCAGCAATATATGTAGAAGGACCACGAAGTAGCTCAGTTTTTTTTTCTCATGTTATTTTGCAGTCATCAGTGCCCCGTATAAAACCGCTCTACATTTTATCCATAAATTGTGTTTTCCGGTGAATGTATTTCGCCTGATAAGTTTTTTTTTATAGTGAAAGAAAAGAATGTTCCAGTTAGTTATCTGCGCACAGGGTCACAGTGAAGAAAGCCGTGAGCAAATGCCACGTACACTTTATACAATCTCTAAAGTCAAGTCTCGTATAATAGTGCAGAATTTTAACTGAAGCATGAATTTTTCAGTACGTCACCCGGTTGAAGCGCAAGGATCAGGAACACCAGAAGTAGCCACAGGGAGCAGCTACGGCGTCTTCACCTCTTCTTGAGTAATCAATTTTCACTAAATAATGTTGCACCTATCTCTCAGTAGTTGTTTGATGCAAAAAAAATATATTTCCGAGAACATTCGTACTTCTTTGTTGTTGTTATTCTCGTCCTCACCTCAAAACGGTGGAGCGGTATTCGAAAAGAGCGAACTCCAAACGCACGTTGGGGAAACTTCCTCTGCCGTCCCGACGAAGGAACAGGTCGGGAAGAGGTTGACGCCGAGCGAAGAATCAACAACCCGAGGGAAGGAACGCTCGTATCGGTCGCGTGGGGCACGGAGCCCACTCGTCGGAAGCGGGACGGTCACAAACTCGAAGGCTCGCACACACACACCCGCCCACTCGCGGCGCACTGGGTCAACCTCGTCTCGTCGTCAGCTAGGCGGGAGTGCGACGACGGTGGCTGTGGCGCCAACGCCGACACTGGCGCACGCCTCCGGCGTCGTCAGCTCAAGCAAGAGAGGGAGAGCCTGAGGGAGAGCAAGAGAGGGAGAGCCAACGCCACCAGCGGAACCGGGCCGAACCCGGGCCTGGCCGAGCTAGAAGCGCGAGGGCCCGGGACTGCAACTCGTGGCCAACCGGCTAGCTCCCCCCCCCCCCCTTCCCATCCGCCCCACCCAACAGCCGTTCTCACCCTTCGAATAACACCTCCCTTCCTCCTCGACGCTTCTCTCGCATCGGCCCACGCCCCGGCCGAGACGATTGAACGGCCACCACACGACCGGGCGTACGCGGTAATCGTCGTGAGCTGCTCGTTATTAGGTCGTTTAGTCATCGGTATCAAACGGCTGCGGCCGCTTGCTCCGCACGCTTGACGTCGTGCGAGATCGAAGCGGGCGTCGATGTCTGGCCCCGTATGTAGGTGATCGCGCAATAACTGCGTCCTGACGGCTCAACAATGTCTCGGCGCGCTTGTGCGCCGTAAAATGAGCGGCAGCGTGCCTACACACGGCGCGATTTAGCAATACGGCCCCGATGGTCGTTACGAT